GGGGGGCGGCGTGTGTGCCTGCTAGTGCCTGCCTGAGCGCGCGTGTGTGTGCGAAATGACGATTGGGTGGATCTTCCCGGATCTTCCCCATCTTTTCAATGGGTTATTGTCCTAGTACGGCCATTCAAATCTCGCTGAATTCGTAATGCCAGTGCGCTGTAAACAGGCTTACTTTCATATTTTATAGAGCTCTGGTTCAAATTTGAAATGGGGGCGCGATGAGCAACGCTGCGTTTCTGTGGGGGTCCGCGGGGAGCGCGGCGCGACGGCTGTAAATGTTTACAACTCCATGACAGGGGACTGCCACCGGCCTTGGCACGACGGAACGGACGGACAGCCTGCCCTTCGGACTTCGGACAAGATAAGTTCGCTCCGTGGCTCTCTGCCGGCCATCGGTCCTCCGCTGCGCCGACCGGCCACCGTCTTCAAAACACAGAAAGAAGCGTCGAACAATAGCCAATGCACTCGCCTGCAAGGACGCGACCCGCCACCGCCGCCACCCTGCCAACAGGCCATCAATAGACACAGGTGCGTTGCGGGCATGCCTACCAAAATGCGTCAGGGGCTCCATCGCGAAAAGAAAACGAGTAACACGCGACGGTTACGTAAGCGCGACCTATGGTGTTCTTTTAATTTTAACAGTGCTGCCACGCGGAAAGGGGGGGGGGGAATTGAGCAGACGCGGCGGTTCGCTGGGTGCCAAGCAGGCCGCTCGCGCCGGTTCGGTCTCGGGAGGAAACTCAAATCGAGGCTCAAACGAAACCAACGCGTGGTCCTGTGAGCTCGTCTACGTGAGAGGAGAGGCCCTCGAGTCGCAGGCCGCTCCGGTGCATACCTGAGGTGCAGCCGGGGGAACAGAGGGAGGCGCGCGCGCACCTGGTGCAGCCCCATACAAAGAAAAAAAATAGGTGTCGACCGTCGTTTGGAGGGGAGAAAGGGAGGGGGGATATTCTCGTATACGTGGCTGGCACACACCAAGCCGCCGACGCCACGCCGCCACGCCAACAAGAGCCAGTCAGTACACCGAGTGAGGGCCACCTTAACGGATCCGATCCGTCCGACCAACCGCCGCAGGCTTTGCATATCAAGGTAGGTACCGAAGCCACCTATTTCTTTATTTTTTTAGGGTAACGAAGATAACCGGAGAAGAAAACTAGAAATATAAAGTCTGCACACAAATGAAATCTTATTTCATCTAGTTGAACATGCACAGGGTATACCCATAAAGCTTTATTTTGCAAAGAGGCTGAAGAAGGTATAAATCACAGCAATTTTCCGGGGCATATTGTAGCAAAATTCATAGAAATACAATTAAAGAACGCGCCCCTGGTTAAGGCCTCAAAAACGATTATTGATAAATTTGACAGTAGTTGGTTTTTATTTCCTCTTTTTTTTTGGGGGGGGGGGTTAGGATTGAACAAAATCCAATCACCGCTAGTAATCGGATGGGAACAAAGACTTTTGTCCACTTAGGTAAAGATTAAGAATTAATTTTGATAATTCTGCACAGAAAATATCTAAGGACACAGTTTTCTTTATCGTAAATGCCTAAAGTTTATATTAATACCACAGCCAAAGCTGCTACTCTCATGGGCCATCGTTGGAGTAACTCAGAAATTACTCCTACTCCAATCCAAATCATACTCAGTGTAGATATGGAGATTAACAAAAAAAGTTTCATCTGTCACATTAATGTTTTAGCACATATAAAGGATTAGATTTCCTGTGTTTTGAATACACTACACTGTTATTATATCTCTGTCTAAATTCTGTAAGTGGAATATCATCAAGTTAATTTGTTCATGAAAATATTTCCTACACCTCACGATATGGTATGTAATGGTGATCCACTGAAGGTGATTGCAAAAGAAAAATATTTAGGCACCAGAATTCGAGCAAGTAGTTCCAAAGTAGTTCATATCTATCCATTGAAGAACTATTTAACAGTTTCATGTACCTTTCACCCACACAGTGTAGGTTAATGTAGGGTGACAAAAACTCCATTAGATCAAGGTACATCCTCCGAGCCAAAAATGAGAATCAGAAATCACAATAAAATTGTGATACATTTAAAAGAAATAGAGTAGTGCATCTACGTTTGCTTCCCGTACATGCAGAACAAATGACATTTTGAATTTACAATATGGAAATTCTATTAAGATCACAGCTTTGTATTGCAAAGAATTAGTTCGTATTGCAAAGAAGTTCTTTGCAAGCTGGCAGAATCCTTGCAAACAATGTGTTTGCATTGCAAAGAAACAGTTTGCAAGCTTGCGAAGAACTAGTTCGTATTACAATGCTTGAAAATTCTTTGCAAGATGCAAAGAAAATAGTATGCAAGACGAACCTATTCTTTGCAAGCATTTTGCAGTGCAAAAGACAAACATTGAGCGACTTCTATTAAAAAGGGTGCACAAGTTAAATGGAACTCAATTGTAGAGTACCTCATGTAAATAACTAACTTTTGAGGTCTGATGTGCTGTGATGAAATTTGTACAAGCAGCAAATTAATGCATAAAAATGAACTACGAGCAATTATCACCCAAGAGATAATGTAAATTGTGACTAACCTCTCATATCATACACATCACACAGCAGGATGTCACCGGAGCTTCAGATGTAATGTTGTTCTTCACGACCAAGTGTTTATGAGATCACATAGTGTAGTTATTCGAATGACTCCCTCATTTAATCAGAGCAGCTCGTTGTTCTTGGCTAGAGTCCAAAAGTCCAAACCAAAAGGCCAAAATACATAAACACGATTCGTGCAAATAAGGCCAACCACCATCAACACACTCACTACTCACTGGTTATTCGCACGGCTCGCGCTGAGGTGGCCGCAGAGCCGCCCCCCCCCCCCCCTCCCCTCACTCCCAGCAGACCAGACCAAGAGACCAGACCGACAACTGCAGACGCCAAGACGAAGTTGCTTTCTGCTCCGATATATTTCCGTAGATCATCTTTCTAACTATTTATTTTGCTACAGTACTTGTTTCAACCAGTTTCAAAAGAATGGCAGTAAATATTCAGCCATGGGTGTAAGTATTTACGCATGAATTGAAATCTTCCTGAAACCCCTATAACCTAAATTTTTGATTTTTAACTCAATTTTTTTCTTCCAGGAAAGCAATGTATGAGACCTTTTATTTCATTGTAGGAGTAATTTTGTTTGTGCCTAAAGTTTACGTCCCATGGTAAGAATTCTGCAATGTGGAAGCATGGTTATTACTTCTTTAAATGTCAACTAAACTTTTTTATTCATCTAGGCTTTGCATTATCCTCGGAACGGTTGGTTTGGTAGTTGAAAAATATGACTCTCCTGCGCCAAATCTGAAAGTAATAATCAGTTTCATGTGAGTATGGCTAGATTTAACGTGTTATAGGTGCTATGAATAATCCCATTAATTTATGATGTTATTGTCTACAGTGTACCTTTTTGGCATATGTTAACATCGTGTGCTTTGCTGGCTGCACACATGAAGACACATGAGTGCTGAAGATTAGAGGAACTTAATGCCTTATTAATAACAATTAATTTTATGTGTTATGATTCTTAAACTCGTGACCTCACAAGTGCAAAAGTCGTGACCTCTGAGGTCACAATGAGGTCTTCGTGAGAGAAATGTTTTCCTTCGGGTGCTGATGAAATAGAGCGCAATCTCAGTCCAATCAATGAATTAATCAATATTTAGACTTCAGCCAGTCGACACTGCTCAATCTTAAATCAAATTTACACCAAATTGATGTGAAATGATCACAACAATGTCAAAACTGGGACATTGTGTATGATGTGCCTGCTCGCATGATATTACTGCTATGTCCAATCTGCCTGTACATCACTTCAATAAAGAATAAGAAAAAGGCCTTTCTCTATTTCATTATGTCATAGGTGTAGCCCCCACTAAGGCTGTATCACCTTAAGAGAAATAACAGATAACAGATCCATTTCAGGAAGGTAATTTATGCTGTTTGATCATGGTTTATTCCACTAAAGTAGCATTTATTGCAAAATAAGTTCATTGAAACATTTTTGAAACGACAGAGAGCAAGAGAAACCTGTGTAAGGTAGATCTGTTATCTGTTATTTCTCTTAAGGTGATCCAGCCTTAGGCTGAAGAAGTAAAATGGAAGAACAAAACGCGCACTGCTCATGAGCAGACATGGAGTGGGGGAAGCAATACTTTCCAAATAGAACTGCCTCCCGTGATCAAAGAAAAGTATTATGATCGATATAGTCTGGGTGAAGGCAGATTTCTGATTTCAGACAATTAACTCAAAACAAATGGCGGGGTGGCTTCAAGGCGCAACGAGAAAGAATAACAAAAGCCCACTGCGCCTGCGCGGCCTGGTGTGCGTGTGCGACCGTTAAAAAGGAAAAAGAAATCCAACATATGACAGCGTCGCGCATAGCCATGGACGCGCAGCGACGATCGCAACTACAGCGCACTAGGATTGGACGAGCGGAGCGGCAGCGGTGCCCTGACCTTGGACTTGACCTACGACAAGCTTGTCACAGCCAGGAAGCCAGAATGGACTGTACTCCAGACCACATCTCGCGTAACATGTAAGTATTCAACTGATTTTACTACTAGGCTGATCTGGAAGATCATGTCGGCTTCGCTTACTTTACTGTGTTGGTATGTGGGAAATATTTAAGAGAAACATAATACATGAATGTGTGAAAATATTT